TATAAAAAAAAATGGGTCATTAGAGAAATGCAAATCAAAACCACAATGAGAGATCATCTCATGCCAGTTAGGATGGTGATCATTGAAAAGTCTGGAAACAACAGATACTGGAGAGTATGTGGAGAAATTGGAATGCTTTTACACTGTTGGTTGGTCTATAAATTAGTTCAACCATTGTGGAAGACAGTGTGTCAATTCCTCAAGGATCTAGAACCAGAAATACCATTTGACCCAGAAATCCCATTACTGGGTATATGCTCAAAGGATTATAAATCATTCTACTAAGAAGACATATGCACACATGCTGTTTATTGCAGTACTGTTCACAACACTGTTCCAAAGACTTGGAACCAATCCAAATGTCCATCACTGATAGACTGGACAAAGAAAATGTGGCACATATATGCCATGGAATACTATGCAGCCATAAAAAAGGATGAGTTCATGTCCTTTGCAGGGACAAGGATGAAGCTGGAAACCATCATTCTCATCATTTCCGATCCTTCAGAAAACCAAACACTGCATGTTCTCACCGATAAGTGGGAGTTGCACAATGAGAACACATGGACACAGGGAAAGTAACTTTACACACCAGGTCCTGTCGGGGAGTTGGGGGGCTGTGTAGCGGAGGGATAGCATTAAGAGAAATAACTAATATAGATGACAGGTTGATGGATACAGCAAACCACCATGGCATGTGTATACCTATTTAACAAACCTGCACATTTCCCAGAACTTAAAGTATATATTTTTAAAAGATTTAAAAAATAGAGAGAATAAGACCTACTATTTTATAGCACAATAGGATATCTAGAGTCAGTAATAACTTAATTGCATATTTTAAAATACCTTAAAGAACATAATTGGATTCTTTGTAACTCAAAGGATAAAATGCTTAAGGGTATGGATACCCCATTTTCCATGATGTGCTTATTTCACACTGCATGCCTGTAAATGATAAGGTATAACACATAGTATGCTCTTTATGCTTAGAAATTTTTCTTTGTTTTGTTCTATTTACTAGTTATATATGAAAATTAATTCTCCTATTCATTATTTATTAAAATAAACTATATACAAGTCAACATATCTGTTTGAGCTTTTTAATGAACCATGCCTGCAGTTGTCCATTTATAGGACACTACAGATCTCAAACTGAAGATAACATTAATCATTTGGTAGCTACACTTACAGGTCAAGACTAAGCTAGACAGGAACTAAGCAGCTTTGGAATATTTATGTATCCATGCCCTTTCCCCCAAAAACTTGTCGGTGCTCTCTTAGGAACATGCTCTAACACTTCAAACTACATCAGAGTAACAGGTCCCATAGGGCTCAGCAGCCTCCCTAATCCTAACTCTATCCAATATTCTCTCCTCTTAACCTTATTTACAGCAAGAGATGCAAGTACTGCCAAGAAAAGTACAACAAACTGGGTCTTGGCTACTGCCTGAAAGCATTTCCCCTAAAAGAGAAACATGAAAGTTTATTCAAAAGGAAACTACTCAAAAACTGCATCTGAAAATAACTACTTCCAAAATACAGCAAACTTGGGAACAACCAACTGCTTTCATGCAAGAATCAAGGGAATCAAGAGTTATTCTTGTTTTTTTTTTTTCACCCATATTTTCATATCTAGATACTCATGTCGAATTGGGAAAAGCTAGGTATCCTTTTAGGTTCACACAGAAGAAGAGAGCTATCCTGTGCAAAATGTTGGGAGTGACCCATTCAGAGATCTACAGGAAGACAGTAATGGAGCTAGAACCGGAGAGGTTTTTAGAGATGAGGACTGGAAAATAGGTGTTCACTTTGCTCACTTCTCTGTTTAATAAAAGAGTCAGAAATATATGCATCAGGAACAGTTTATCTCTCAACAAGATTTCTTTTATGTTGATTTACAAGATAAAAGTATAGAACACCCAGTTAAATTAGAATTAAACAGCAATTAATTTTTGGTATACTTGTGTTTCATGTCATATTTGTGACGCAATTATACTAAAAAGGTATTCATTGTTTATCTGGAATTCAATTTAACAAGGTATTTTGTGCCTTATTTGCTAAGTGGTTCTATTAAATGCATCTTTGAAAAGTTATCAATAAATGTGCTTGGCTCTCAATTTTTTATCAGTCCAGATTTATCCCCTGAACTTCAGACCCAAAAAACCAATTGCTTACATCTCCATTTCAGCATCTGAGAGGCATTTTAAACTCAACATTTAAACTCCAAAACTGATGTCCTGTGATCTATCACTATCAACCTTTCTCTTCCCAGACAAGCCTTTCCAGCAGTCTTCCCCATCCAATTAAGTCTTCCATTGCTTGGGTCAAAAATGTAGTCTCATCCTTAGCTACTCACTTTCACACCTCAAAATCCTTTATTTTTTGTATGAGTTTCACAATTCAGAGGAAATCTCTATGCACAGTTTCTCCAGGGCCAGAGATGTCTCTTCCTTGGAACCAGGGAGCCTCTTGCCACATTTGTGTCAATCAACCAACAAATAACTATGCTTAAAGAAGGACAAAGGTGGCAACATCTTTTGCATTTATAAACTCAGTCAGCACCAAGCTTTCACTTTCACTTCTAGCAGCACTGTGGAAAACTCTCAGTGGAAACTGAGAGTAGTAGTTTGTTCTAGGGGTACAGGGGAAGTGGAGAGCAGAGAGAATCTCATTACTTGAAACCCCCACTCTCACCCTGGTTATTAAGGAAATACTTATTCCATTTTTGGAGTGACAACATACAGCTTTCTAGACTCTTAATAATCCTTTCTGAAACCAGAGGACAAAGGAGTTTCAAGAAATTTGAAGAGAATGCACAATATGTAAATCTATGAAACATCCAAATCACAGCTTCAAAGTAGAGAACTCTAGGACATTTTCTGCCACTTCTTTGTTGGGTACACATAATGAATGTTGTGAAGCCATATCAAGTCTCTCTTATCAAACATCAAGGCATCCAGAACCTAGATAATCAAAGTAACTCTGAGCAGTCTGATTTTTTCGTTTCTTTTGTTTTTAGAGACGGTGTCTCACTGTGTCACCCAGGTTGGATTGCAGTGGTGCAATCATGACTCACTGCAATCTTGAACTCCGAGCAATTCTCCTGCCTCAGGCTCCCAATTAGCTGGGACTACAGGTATGTGCCACCAGACCTGGCTAATTGTTTTAAATTTTTTTGTAGAGACAGCATCTCACTATGTTGCCTAGGCAGATCTTGAACTTGCTTTCCTGGCCTCGGCCTCCCAAAGTACTGAGATTAGAGGCATGAGCCACTGCACCTGGCCAGCCTGACTTTTTAAAATTACAGTACAGACCAATAAATAGCTTTTTAAAGTTTCCACCAGCTGTTGTCTTCTGAGATTCTCAAAAAGGAGCAATGCACACCCCTAAGGTGACAACAATGTGGAAAATGAGCAGCCAAAGTAAAAAGGGCTTACTGGTTTATCATGTGTTCAGATACTTAGAGTCCTAGGCCTGCTCTGCAGAACAAAATGAAAGGTGGCACCTTCTGTCACAAAGTTTCACTGACTACGTCATTACATCAAGAACAATGTCTCACATAAGATTCCAACAATGGCAAATACATACCATAAATGGCCAATATGATTAACAGTGTAATTTGTAAAAGTGACCAGGTAAAAATACCGTTGAGCAACCACGTGATAAAACCAATTGAAAAAATGAAAAGCAAAAGAAAACTACTTTGAATCTTTCTACTAAATAGCCAGGGACTTACACAAAGTTAAGAATGAATACTGTGAGTATCAATATACATTGTCAATGTGGGACGCAGAGGAATAAAAATTTCTTAAGGAGATTTGAAAATGATTGCACTTGACTTAGAAAAGTTTTTTATAAAAGTTTAACTTCAATAAATATGTCTCAACTGTATTACTCCATGTCATGCATTTTTCTTAGACTTCAAATTTTAAGTGAGCAACTTTGAATGGATGATCTATTTTTTTTCTTTTTTGCATGTTTCAATGTCAAAAGTTTCCATGCCTTTTCGAGAACATGAGGCATGTTGCTATGCTCAAGGTCTCTGAAATTTTTTAAAGATTCTGGGTATACAATAAAATATACGCTTGAAGCTACATTAAAAAATAATTGAATCTGTTTTTTCAAATATGTGCAGCCAAGTTATCAGCTCCTACAAATAAAGAGTTGTACAGACAGCTTGTTTCACCCCATCAAAACTGTGATATCTTGAAGACTTTTTTGTAAATTCTATTAAATTGTCAAGAGCACTTTCAATATCCCAAGTTAGCAGAGTTTTTGCCCATTTGTACAAGACTTTCCTATAGTTAGTTTTCTCCCATTTATAAATGTATTAACTCTATATGCAAATATTTCACTCTATTCCATCATCTTTCTGATAGCCTTGGGCTGTTTTCCTAAAAGATAACTGGAATGCTTTAATCCTCAGGTTTTATCAATTAATCCTTTTCAATAATCAAATTTGTATCTGAATATTGTATTTAATGATTCTCTCAGGCCATATGAAACACTGAAATCTGTACATGACAGCAATCATATCATTCAAATCATTCTCTTGCACATGTCACTGAGAGGAAAACGACCCACCATGGATATAGCTATTAATGTCAAACACTGTCATCTAGGAAAACAAAAATGCATCAAAATCAGCTTCGGACAAAATACAGCTCTATGGGAAAAGACCAGATTTTTATGTGCAAATGTCCTCAATATCTGATAGAAATTTTTAAAGAATGAGTTAGCAAATAATCTGCTCCTGCTCTACATAATCCAGGGCAATGTAATGAAAATAGTTTTAGAGTTAAAGGGCTTTTAGTCATAGCACGTTATGATTTTACCAAAGATGCATTTGCCCCACTTTCTAGTAAACATTATAAAGAACGTCTGGCTTCTAGATTGGGTAGAGGGCTCTATTTAGCCTATCAAGGCACAGACCTGTTATAAACTCTGGGGCGCTTGCCAGAATTTTTTTCCCCAGGAACTCTGAGTAAAGATCGTACCTCGAAAGCAATGTGCGTTGCAAACCACACAGATTTAAGCTCCCACTCTCGCCTCCATAGCTTGGTATCTGTGGATTTTGGGTAAAACTCAGACTAAATCACCACCTTCCACAACCACCACGCCACCATCCTTGAGCAGCTATCAGTGACTTAGCACGGAGAGCGTCCGAGGCACACCTGCAGCCCTCCCGGTCCCTGCAGGGTGAACCCAGCTCCCTGCCATGCGCGCGCCCACAAACGCTCTACTATTTTCTCCGCTGCAAACTGCCCACAAATTAGTCACCCACCTCACCCCTACTACTTATTCCCCCACGTTCCTGCCTTTTTTTCTCTCTCTTCCGGGTGGCTTCCTCCCCAACACTCCTGTCTACCCCTACAGCTGCCAGACGTCAGGTGCCCACGTTGCACCCCGTCCTGCGCCCCCTCAATCCAACTGGCGCTTCCCCTTCCTCCCCGAAGGTCAGTTTGCTCGGAGCACCCGATGTCCCCCACCGCCATGACCACCCGCAGACCGCCCCCAGCTCCCACCCTCTCGGGCGCCTGGGGAAAAAAACCCGCACCGTACCTGCCGAGAGCTCGGCGGCCGCGGCGAGCAGCAGGAGAGCCTGGCGGAGCGCGGAGCGGAGCGCCCAGGTCATCGCCACCAGGCGGCCGAGCCGGGAGTGCGAGGCCCCAGAGCGGAGCGAGGCAGCCGGGGCAGCAGGGGCGGCTTTGAAGTTCCCGGGCCGCGGGAGGGGAGCGCAGCACCGACACCCTTTGGAAGTGCGCGGTCGGCTCTAGTCAGTGCGGGCGCCCCCCTCCCCCGCCGCCCCCATCCCACGCCCCCCGCGGCTGGCGGTGCGAGGCGCTCCTGCCACAGGCCCCGCAGCCAGACAGGGAGAAGGTGTGTGTACAGGGTGGAGGGGTAGAGCCCGCCCCTGCCGCGCCTCCGCCCCCTGCGCCCTCTCGCAGCTGCCCGGGCCTGGTGCTGTGGGGCAGGCGGGCAAAGGCTGCCCTGTGCCCGGCAGTGAGACCGCCCAGAGCTGGGGCCAAGAAAGAGATGGGGGGGGGGCGGGAAACGGCGCGGAGCCTCCGGGACTAGATACTCAGGAAGCGGGCTCTGCACGGGAGGGAAAGCCCCACTGAGACTTCAGGGAAACTTCAACTACGCGGCGACTGCGCCCTGGTGATCCGCTCTGTGGCCTCCCGCGAAGAGCCCACCTCCTAGCTCTCCTGGCGTTCGTTGTCCAGTGCCCTTAAATCCAACCAGGCTGCTCTGTGAGAACCCCGCGGGCTTCCTCCTGGCTTGCCCCACCACTGTGTCCTGGCTGTTCTCGCCTCTGGGGAAGGGCGCCCTCTCTGTTCATCCCTAGGAATGACCAGTTGTCTGACTGCCTGCAGGACCTATATATAAGCTTTGCTTTAACAAACTTCATCTCTTCTCCATTGCCTTTTGGGAACCCTCCCCTCTATGAACAGCAACCAAAGCTTGACCACCTGTGCCAGGTGATGTGACCATCTACAATGTTTGACCCAAGTCTGGTGGTAAAAGACCTCATCTGTGGAAGATATTTCGGTAGCTACAATTTCAGCAATTGAAGAACTAAGGGAACACACACACACAAACACACACACGGATTAAGGGAAGAGGAAGAATTATTTAAAGTAATATATTAGAAACTTGTTTGAGTATTATTTAATCCCTAGAGACTATCAAATGGCTGTGCTTCCCATATGGATTGTGCCTGAAAATAGGAGGACAACAGCAACACTACCAATTAACATAAATTAACGTAAATTAAATTCACCTATAGAGCTTGAACATTAAAGTGAATGGGATTATTTCCACCTGAACAACATGAAAAAGCAAGCATACAATACTGGTGTTACTACTGTTAGGGGGTTCCTTGAAAAGTGATAGCGTCATAAAAATTAATCGCTTTAGAATAAAACATTGCTTGCTTCTTCACCTAGCTCAGCACTAAATGATACGCTAGGTGTTCTAAGTTCTATGAAAGATATATGGTGAAATGATGTATATATCTGACTTGATTATCAAAGGATCACAGTATTGGAGGTGAGATGGTTGTTGGACTTTGAGACGTGGGTGGCATCCTGAGGATCCCTTCTGTCACCACCTTGGATAAGTCAAAATATTCCTAAGCACAAAAAACTTTGTTCTCATTTTATGCTGGATCCAAACAAACAAAAAACTGGAGATGTGGGACAAATCTGAGCCCTTTCAGACACCCACAAAACAGATGCTTTTGTAAAAAGGCAAGAAAATGCTAGGACAGATTATATTTTGTCTAGTTTGGCTTGCTCATTATTTGATAGCGGCACCTTAAATTGTGATCTTCCATTGGATCATGATACCGGAAGCCTAAAGAGAAGAATGTAGTAAACTTTCTGGGTCTGCTTCCTCAAAAATAAATGGAACTTCATTCCACCCTATTTCCCAGAACTTTGACCAGGATCAAAAAGGGTAGTATATGAGAGAGCATTGTTCAACCATACACATTACAATAATGGCAGGTATTTACTCCACACATACCCACTTTGTCTCAAATTTAGTAAGCAACATTCCCTGCAAGTTGAAAAGCTCTCATTTGCTTTAAAAAAATAAAAGCAAGCTTATTATCCAAGAAGTCAAATATTGAATAATTTCAATATTCTGAACAAACTCAATGCTTTCCTCTTAGTCTAATGGTGCATTATCAATACGGTAGCCACTAGCTACATGTAGATATTGAGCCTTTGAAATGTGTCTAGACTGAATCGACATATGCTGTAAATAAAAAATACATGCTAATCCAAAGGTTTAGTACAAAAATAAGAATGTATAAAGCACATTACTAATAATTTGCATGTTGCTTAAATGTTGCAATGATAGTATTTTGGACATACTGCATTGAACAAAATATATTATCAAATTAGTATTACCTAATTCTTTTTACTCTTTAGTTTGACTACTAGAAAATTTTAAATTACACATGTGGCTCATATTATATCTCTAGCAGACAGTACTGATCTAAAGAATCCTCATCAGGTGACAAGGATCCTTACCTTCTCTTAAGAACAGTATAAAAACAAAACAAAAAAGTAGTTATGTACCTTATCAGTCAGTACCTGGCCAGCCAATAAAGGAATCAGGACCTTTTAAATTCTTGGTTCAAAGTTCTATAACACATCAAGAAAGATTAGCGCATCAAAAATCTAAGTACTTTATTTGTAGGAATATTTTAAACTAGATCTTTAAATACCATTTTCCTCAGCCTCTTGTGTATGTTCCAATGTTGGTACTATGAAAGCTTTGTAGTAAGGTGTTAACTACTCTCAATGTATTGAATCCTTATAGCTAGCAAAATATACTCTTAGGAAATTATAAATATTCCTTATATGCTTGAGTTCTTAATGCCACCTTCAAGGAAACCAAGAAAAGATCTTAATACTTATAATGTGTCCCAATTATACTTTATTTACACACATACTATTTACACATATACACACATGCACACACCCATGGTAATTAATCCAGTCTTAATCTAACATCTTTTAAAATGAACCATTGATAAAAAATACTCTTTGGACCATATTTAGCTGTTCATGTTATTTAATATAAACAATAGAAATGCATTATTCAATATGTGATATAACACATCTTTCTTTCATATTTTTGCCCATAACAGAAAAAGATTTACATGCAAGATTATTTTATTTCACTAGAAAGAATTTACATGCAAATATGTTTTTCAAGATTTAACATCCCCCCCCGCCACCTTAATCATCTATTTGCACATATTCATTGCCATAGCAACATTACATCATGACTCCTGTATTCTCATAAACCAAAAAACAACAACAACAAATAATTAAGGGGTTCATAGACCATCAGCAAAACAGATTTTGTCTGAGTAAATCTTACATAAGCAAGTAAACCAGGTATAGAGACTGTAAATTGTAAAGATTTGATACATTTGCAGAATAACATCACAAATTAATAAGGCAGAGAAATGTGTGTAATAATTGAACTTTGAAAAAGACTATCTGTTGGGTGTGGTTTTTTGTTTGGGATTTTTTTTTTTTTATCATCCAGTTTCCTTATTATTATCCTTTTCAGAATCTCTAAACCCATGCATCTTAATTTCTCATTTCATCTTGGAACATGAATTTATCATGGAACGAGCATATGGTGAGGAGGCATGCTACGATAATTTGCTATGCACTATCAAGGCCTAATCTTTTCTCATTTTACTGCATTTTTCCTTCCCCAAACTCACATTACCCCTAAAGAAGTGCATGGCACACTCTGCTTCCCTCATCTCATCTCATCTCTTAATCCCAGAAACCTTTGCTTTGGGAAATCCTGGTTTCACTTCTATTGTTTTTTTCTTTTTTTAATTCTTAATTTCCATTCCATGAAAATACTCATGTGTTTTAGAATCTTTATTGAGATTTTGCAATATGTATCCTCATTGCATCTACCTCACGAGGCAGCTCAGATTTTATAAAAAAGGAAAACATGGACCCCTCTGGGACATGATTGAGGAGATATCAAACTGCTTCTTAGCCCAACTGCTGCTGCTAAATCTTAAAGTCTATTTTTGGTACTTACATTATCTGTTTTCACCACCTTCCAAAGTGATTACACTCCTTCACTAATTTTCTTTTCTTTATTTTTGTGTTATTTTCATTTTTATAGATTCAAGGGATGCAAATGCAGTTTCATTACATGCATGTAATACATAGTGGTGAAGTCTGTGCTTTTAGTGTACCCAGCACCTAAATAGTGAATACTGTACCTAATAGGTAATTTTTCAACCCTTACCACCTCTCTCCTTCATCTGCCTCTCTTTTGGAGTCTTCAGTGTCTGTTTTTCCCATCTTCATGTCCATGTGTACCCCTTGTTTAGTTCCTTCTTGTAAGTGAAAATATAGCAATGGATTATCTGTTTCTGAGTTATTTCTCTAAAGATAATGGCTTCCAGCTCTATCCATGTTGCTGCAAATAACATAATTTCATTCTTTTTATGGCTGATTAGTATTCCATGAAGTATATATACCACCTTTTTTTTTTTAGATGCAGTCTCGCTCTGTTGCCAGGCTAGAGTACAGTGGAGGACCTCAGCTCACTGCAATCTACGACTTCCTGGTTAAGGTGATTCTCCTACCTCAGCCTCCTAAGTAGCTGGGATTACAGGCACACACCACCATGTCCAGCAGATTTTTGTATTTTTAGTAGAGACAGGGTTTCATCATGTTGGCCAGGATGGTCTCAATTTCCTGACCTTGTGATCTGCCCACTTCGGCCTCCCAAAGTGCTGGGATTATAGGTGTGAGCCACCGCACCCGGCCAATATCACATTTTCTTTATCCAGCCATCTGTTGATGGACACTTAGACTGAATCCATGACTTTGCTATTGCTAATAGTGCTGTGATAAATATACAAGTTCAGGTGTCTTCTTGACATAATAATTTATCTTCCTTTGGGTAGATACCCAGTAATGGGATTGCTGGGTTGAATGGTATTTCTATTTTTAGTTCTTTGAGAAACCTTCATATTACCCTCCACAGAGGTCATACTAATTTACATTTCCACCAACAGTGTGTGAGTGTTCCCCTTTCTCCACGTCTTTGCCAACATCTATTGATTTTGATTATTTAATAATGGCCATTCTAACTGGTGTAAAATGATATCTCATTGCCTTACTGATTTTCATACCTTTTAACACTATTAACATGGTATTTTCCCATAACTCAAATTTTGTCTGTTTTTCTTTTACTGATCAATGTCAGTATGCTGGGCTGAAAGCAATATTTGACATAGGCCCTATAAAACGCAGGTCAGAGATTCAGTTCCAAGTAAGCAAGTCACACCACTTGGATCATTTCCTTAGAATAGGCCCATAATTACACCCTACCCAAATGAGGTCATAAAGACATAAAAGAATTAGATGGCATAGTATACGTCTATTACTTCCTAGGAAGACAACTCAAAAACGGTCATTATTAAAAACCCCAGACAAAAACATGAAGGTTCTGATGATCTTGACTGAAGTAAAAGAGTAGTTTAAAGCTGCTGCACCCACTGTTTACAATAGCAAAGACCTGGAATCAACCCAAATGCCCATTGATAATAGACTGGATTGGAAAAATGTGGCACATATACACCATGGAATATTATGCAGCAATCAGAAA